AAACAGAGGTGGTGAAAGGTTGGCTGAGTGGAGAGTATTGAGAGATTTTGGTGTTGTGGGAAGTAGAAAAAGAAAACTAAGTAGTGATGTCGAGGAGCTGATTGCTGATGAGGCGATGAGCTGTGGGGAAGAGGATGGAAATTTGTTACCTATAATATGCGCATTTCCTAGCAAACATGTGGTTTACAAAACACTGCCCTGCGCTGCACTACGCTGCGCTGCTCCGACTGCGTCTCGATATGCGCCGGGCCTGACTCGACCACAAGTGCGCGCAGTCCACGTGCGGGACTGCACTGCCCAGCCCTGCGCTGCGCCGTTGTATTATATAGAGATCTATGGGTTTACAAAACACTGCCCTGCGCGGCACTACCTGCGCTGCTCCGACTGCGTCTCAATATGCGCCGGGCCTTTAGTCCAAGCGCATATCGAGCTGTGCGGCACGCGGCACGGTCCGGGCAGTGCAGCACAGCACAGGGCAGAATTGGGCAAAAAGTCTGTGTTGCACAGTTGACATCGCATATTGGGAAGCAGTGTCGTACAGTTTTCGTGTAGGAGTGATACAGTTTCTTGTGTGAACATGTTGTTAAATATTAGGATTTGAGTTCTGAGTCAGATTCAGGTGCTGATTTAGATTTATTGTTATTTCTTCACCAGAGAACAAGAAAAAAAGGGCAAAAAATTTGCAATGTTTAGTGATTTTTGTATTTTCTCCCAGATTTCATTCCTGTAATTACTCTTTATATACTTAAAATGAATGGTAAAGTAAAAAATTGATAAAAACGCACAATTTCTATTAATTATCCTCTAGATCCGTCACAAAACACTAGTCAACCCGGCGCAGGTGAGCAATGCGGCACAGACACTTGTGACTCGACCACAAGTGCGCGCAGTCCACGTGCGGGACTGCACTGCCCTGCGCTGCGCTGCGCCATAATATGCGCGTGTCCTAGCAAATACATGGTTTACAAAACACTGCCCTGCGCTGCACTACGCTGCGCTGCTCCGACTGCGTCTCAATATGCGCCGGGCCTATGGCGCAGCGCATGGCAGGGCAGTGCAGTCCCGCACGTGGACTACGCGCACTTGTGGTTGAGTCACAAGTGTCTGTGCCGCATTGCTCACCTGCGCCGGGTTGACTAGTGTTTTGTGACGGATCTAGAGGATAATTAATAGAAATTGTGCGTTTTTATCCAGTTTTTACGTTACCAGTCATAGTAAGTATATAAAGAGTAATTACAAGAATGAAATCTGGCAGAAAATACGAAAATTACTAAATATTGTAAATTTTTTCGCCCTTTCTTTCTTGTTCTCTGGTGAAGAAGTAACAATAAATCTAGATCAGCACCTGAATCTGACTTAGAACTGAAATCCTAAATTTAACAACATGTTAACACAAGAAACTGTGTCACTCCTATACGAGAACTGTACGACACTGCTTCCCAATATGCGATGTCAACTGTGCAACACAGACTTTTTGCCCAATTCCGATCTGTGCTGTGCTGCACTGCCAGGATCGTGCCACACATGTCAATACAATATGCGCCTGGGCTTTGTAGACAATTCCACGCTATCATCTGATCCGACTGACTGTTTGGGCAACTGTGATATTACCGGTCGTAGAATAGTTGACATTTGTTATTTAGTTGATCAATTTGTCCAACTAAATATGCGCCTCAATTCGGCTGTTCCCTCAGAAACCTGAAATTAGTTAGTGAAATAAAAAAAAAAGGAGTGGGTTTGTGTTTGATTGCAACATGTGCCACATCAAACAGACAATATGGAGTGAGCCTGAACCTCGGGGAAATGCAATGTCAATGGACATAAACAGTGCAGCAGTAGCCGGTTCTATTACCAATGGTGGAGGATTTGTCGCCTTAGAACGGCTGCTGTCTGCAATGAATGTTCGTGCCATGAACCGGAAAACGTATGACAAACATGAAGAACTAATTTCGAAAGGTTCGGAGGAAACTCGCCATTTGGACACCAAAAGGTCTAAAAACTGTAAAAATTGATCGGGACGATGACTTTTGGGAAGTAAACATGAAAGAAAAACTTGAAACCTTTTATATGAAATGTTTACTTCCCGAACTTGTAAACTCACCTCACAATATTCATTTAGGCTAGGCCTATTCTATAAATGTTTAAAGTTAATAAGTTAACAAAGATATACGAATTACAAAAGGTGTTTTATTGAAACAAATGAACAAACATGCAATGAAATTTAAAAGGCTTAACGTTATAATGAAAGGACTGACAATGGAGTGTGGGGGTTGAAATTAAAATGAAATAGAAGATAAGTTTTATAAGAAATTTTAAGTATTATAAGAAATGTGTTGATGTCCCAAGTAGCAGAAAAACGAGAAAAAAATTGTTTTAATATCAATTTTAAACTTATATTAAAACTGTTATTAATATGAGTATAGTTGACAACCGGCAAAATTTAAAATATTTCAAAAATAGTTTTACAACTATATTGCAACAGTTTTACAACAATTTAAAAACTGTTTTAACAACAATTTTAAAATTGACTTTGCAACAAGTTGAAAATTGTTTTTATATAGACCAGCCATCCCATGGGCATATCCTAAACACGAAATAATAAAGATTTTGTGTGAAATGCATATCAGTTGAGCATTTTGATTAAATAGTTCATGAAAACAAATTTTGAGAAAAAACTAGAATCAAAATTATCTTTCCCAGCGGGTCTTGAACCCGGGACCTCCAGACTGTGAATCCCTTACCTTAGCACTGAACTAGGCCTATCTGTGGTTGTTGATAATTTATGTTTTCAATCGGTCAAAGAGGAGTGGACAGTTGCAATGGTTGCAATAAATACTTTTGATACTATGATTATGTTTAGGCCTCAAGTTGTTGAATTGATTTTCTGGGAGTTGAGGAGGATACCGGTATTTGGATGTAGATGAATTAATTAACATTGCTAATGTTATTATAATTATTAAGAGTAATTCATCTTCCCCCCTTAAATTGTTCAACTACAAAAAATTTGCTCAAATAACTGAAAAAAAAACAAAAATATTTGCATTATTATTATATGTTAAGCAGGTGTTCCATCACTGTATCTAGTATCACAACTATCACAATTAACGTCATCGGTAACTTATCACAAAAATCTGTAACTTATGCATTAAACAGATTGCAAATAACTTCATTTTGTGATGTTCTACAAGCCTAGTGTAAGTGTTTCACAAATTGTATGTTTGTCAAGTGTTGTTTTGGTTAGGCCTATGCCATCCACCATGATTGTAAAGTTGAACAGTATTTACGTTGGTAAGTTATTTAGAAAACTTGATCTTCAACTAATGTTTCCAACATGTGATAGATCCGATTTACCATTCATTAATGTAATTACTTAACTTGTTTCATTTTTGAGTAATCTCAGAATTGATAATGTTACACCATGTACATATAACAGATCAATTTAATTAAATATTATTCACCCTGTTTTTGCTTATTTTTCATGAGCACTATTTTTATTTTGTACAACACTTTTTTACTCTTCGCATTTTTGCGCTAAACTTTATCGTTTAGGAGCTGAATGATACAAAAAGTAGACCGGAAGTCATTTTTTCATAGGCTGTATATCCTAAACTTGTGGGTTTATGGAATAAATTTCACGAATAAAAAAGTTTTTAAATTGCATGTTCTATCCGAAAACATGATAAACTATAGGGCTTTAATAAGAAATTTCAATTATTGCTTTAGAAAATTTTGTATGATCCTTGTTCCACTTCAAAACTTTTGTTTCAAAACTGATTATTTCCCCATAGCATTCTCTATGATATAAAATTGTAACAGGCTAAATAACCATCATAGATAAATCCACTAACAACGAAGAGCAGTGAGCAAAATCGAGTGTTCTAAGTAAATAAGCGATGGAAGTGACTTAGGACACTCCGTCACTCCGAGCAGGAGCAGGGTGGAATCGCCGTCCAGTCCACTGACACAGTTCGTTCATCGCCAGTGCTAATGCGGCGTTGCCTTAGCGCCTGGCGAGGGTTCGGCAACACCGCGCCCGCGCCGTGAGTCACTTATCGATCGATACATGCCTGTGACGTCGAGACTGCCACGCACGTAGTTCAACAAATGTCCGCTCCACTCCACGCGCGCTAGTGTGCCAATTTCGGCCATTTCGGGATTTTGTTTTACTGGGACCCACTCTTAACAAAGGGCTTATCATCATTGAAACATGTTAAAATGAAAACTTTCATTGGGATGGTGACCTCTTAACTAAAACTTATTTTTCTAAAATGTATTATGGACATTACGGGGGTGTGTTAAAGATGTAATTGATTCATATTATAATGTCCATAATAATTATGTTAGAAAAGAACATATGATGTTTCCTTGGCAACAGAGTTTAGTTGTTTGTTATATTTTGATGAAGTAGATGTATACACAAATCTAAGTTTTTCATTCTATCAGTTTTACTATTAAATTAACTTAATTTTTGATCCACAAGACGACTTGTTATTTTAGACGATATTTCCAACAGTTTTATATACAGACTTATTTTATTTTTATTATTTTATCGATATACTCTTGTTTCAATATCCAGAACATTATACAATTAATCTGAAATTAAAGCTAATGTAGTGAAATAAACATTAAATTTGTGTATAATTTTGGTATTTCCAAAAATTAAACCTGTGTCACAGGGGAAAACGATCATGCTCGTGGCATTTTTTTAACTCCCCCCAAAAAATTTTTTTTTTGGTCATATAAGGTTAAACTATATCCTAAACTTGAAGGAAATATATGCAAAGTCTTTCAGAAGAAAAAATGTCATTTATCTCATATGTGTTCTTTCTGTACTAAGTCTGTAAACTTTAAAAATATTAGCCTGAACTGAAAAATTTACTTTTTGTGAGTTTGATTGTTTTTCCCCTGTACCCCAAACCCCAATCTTAATCACAGATTGACTTTATATTTAGTATACTGTGCAAAATATCAAAAGGATGCCGTCCAGTAGGCCTACTCACCAACAATCATCCACAGTATGAAGCGTATCCAGGTGTCAAACTCCATAATGAACATGAAGTAGAGGTTCAGGAAGATGCTGATTGTCGGAGTCAGAGGTAGACCAGGCACCTAGACATTAACAAAATTGTCACAGTCAATTAAGGGATTAGGGAACCTACAATGTGAGGACAATCGTTGCTTATCCTACTAGGTGTAAGCAGTTTGTAAAATAAAGAAGAATAAAAGGTTTTTATGTTATTTAATGAAAAATACTTTATTTGGAAGGGGACATCATGTGGTAATTTGAAAAAAGATTTTTAGAAACATGTCAAAATAAAAACATTTTTATGTTTAGCGAGGGGGAAGGGTGTTAAGCTAAGTACAAAAATGTCAAATTTTCTGTAAGGGAAAGTAAACGTTATAGTGGCGTGATCCTGCTGTATATTGTACAAACACCAACCAGTCTGACTACGGATATTGGCAAGGCTATTTGTTTCCTCTCCACAACATCAACAAACATTATGCAAATATATCTGTCGCCCATGTGTAAGAGTTGAGCACAAATGTAAAAGATAACCGTTACAGACCTGAAACATGATGGAAGAAGTGCCATGAGGCATTCCCTGGAAGCAGGCCAGCATGAGACCTATCAGAAGTACGAGGACTACACAGAAGTACGACCACAGGCCTGGGTCACTATCCGAGGGCATATGCTGGATATGAATCAACCCCATCACCAACAGTATACATAGGAACGCTGTAACAAACAATCATTGTACGTATATCCCGTCAAACACACTCTACATTCTTCTTCAAATAAAAATCACAGAAAAACAATTCAGATTTTATACAGGATTGAAAATGTGAATGAGTCTGTTATTTGTAAATGTTATATTTTTGGGCGAGGTGTAATTCAGTGGTGAATTTACAGGGCTTTCTCTTTGTTATGTGACAATTTCAAATGTCAAAGTCCAAGAAACTTGTCGGAAACAAAGCGAAAGCTCCGTTAGCGTGGATCGGCGGTTTTTGCGAACCCTTTCATCAACTTTAACGACCAGTTCATCAGTCACAATGCTCGGACGTCCACTCTTCGCTTTGTCATGAACTTCAGTTCGGTCATTTTTAAACTGAATGCACCACCGTCTAACAGATCTTTCATTCATTAAGTTGTTTCCGTAACGTTCACACACTTGGTGATAACAGTTTTTTGCCAACAAAAACCTTATTACTGACCGCACCTCACAACTAGTGGGGTTTTTAATCGCAGCACACATCTTCAGTTGAAATGGCAAAAATAACGGGCAGCGAGATGTTCCCGTTGTCACGGCTGAACGCCGACTGAGTTGCCGAGTGTACACACACCGAAATGTATGAGATCGGTATATGCGTAGTGGCGTCAGAAAGAAACGTTCCTAACTTTCTGAATAGCCCTCGTATATCATTGGACATCATGACATTTGGACGTCGTACAACACTCCCCCCTGTAAAATATCCTATATTGGGATCGAATGAAAAGAGAGCTTGACGACAAAAGATACCGGTTTTACACAAGTACATAAGTTTACATGTGTTTAAAATTGAACTGGGTACCTCACTTTTAGGTTAATAATTTTAGAAAAGGATAATCCACTTGTTTGACTGAGGTTTGAATATTTGTTTCAAGTTTAACCCTTTGAGTGCCAACGTCCGGGGAACCGGACGTTTTTAAAACGAGCCAAAAGTGCCAACGTCCGGCCGACCGGACGTTTTTAGAACGAGCCAAAAGTGCCAACGTCCGGCTGACCGGACGTTTCGTAATGATCGAACAGCTGTCATAACAACCGAATAAATACTCGGATTCTTTTAACCCATATATTAACATTGAGTCGAAAGTTGCTAGATGCGATACATCGATTTTCGTTGGTCGAAATATCGAAAATTCGATTTTTACGAAATTTTAACCTAAAAATCGCCAGATCGCGCTCGGCATTTTTAGTGCGACCTTCGGGAAAAATCATCGGCATTTTTTGAGCGTTACTTTTATTTCTCGCCTGGCACTCTAAGGGTTAATTCTTGTCTTCTTTTGCAGACTTAAAAAAATATATTACATACCTCTCAATTTGGGGATACATATGCAAAAGTACCACCAACTACAGAAAGATCTTAACAAGTAAAAGATTTTTTTGGTACGCCAAACCTAAACTTCTATCTTAAGAACTTCATTACTAGGCGTTCCTATTGAAAGAGAAATAATTGGTCCGCCACTAAAATAATAATCAGTTATGTGCTTTGAACAAATAGACCCGACAAAAAGCAATTACTTACTGTGTTTACGGGGATATTTTTGAATGATATAGAGGTACATAAACTTACTGAGCAGGTAGACCATGAAAGGCACATGTGTGAATGGAGGTTTGGTTGGGTCAAATCTGCTCTCGGCCTGTGTCTGTTTAGACTTGGACGCCAGCAGAGGAGAGTTTTCACTGTCAGAGAGTCCTCCCTCTATGAAATCTCCCTCCTGGCGATATCTGCAACAAACCAGGCGACGAATTAACATAATTCTAACTAGATTACACTCCTATCACACAACACACTATGATAAAGTTTTGAACATTGAAAAAGCTAAAAACGTTTCTCAGGATCAAACTGACAACCTTTTGATTGCTAGGCAAGCACTATAACCAATCAGCTGACTAGAGCAGATCAAGTCCGCCTTGATCTTTCTCCGATTTTGTAGTAAAAAAAAAACATTTTTCCTATCTAAATACATTTTTTTATGTTCAAACTGGTTGTTTGTTGATGCAAAAAAGAACTATTAATAATTGTTTATGAATTCTTAATGTTTGCATTGAGCTCACCTCAGTATAAGCACTGCCATTGCTACTATGATGTAGCAGACCAATGTAGCCATTGACATGAGCTGCATCAGATGTTTAAGGCTAAATACAGCCGCCATAAAACCTGTCAAGCAGAACATCATTCATCATTCAATGATTCCATTATGAATTCAAATAAAGTACAAGATTGAAACTAGAGTAGACTATCACCTCCCACCTCACTATCCCGTTTAGCGGGATGCGTTTTTACCACACGGACATTACCCTGTCACACCTTCCTGTTCTACCGCAACATACTTCGAGTGAAGAGCGCGAGCATCACATGCTGAGCACTGTTGATAGCAATAAAAGTAGGGATAAACGCGCGGCACAACCAGCTAGTGTAGCTGCTCTCATTAAACTCCATGTGTTTTGCAGTTCGTCCTGTCGTCCCGCTACGCCGCAGCATGCATGCGGTGGATTCCGCTGACGCACTGCAACCGCTCCCATTAAAACCCATGAGTTTGAATCATCCTGCCAAACGGGTTCCGTTTAACTGGACCGGCGAAACGGGATAGTGTGGCACCGGCCTATGAAGACTGGGAAGAAGGGTTGAAGATGAGTAAGAGTACATCAGGAGGTAAAATACCATGTAGAATTTGTTCACTGATTATTGCACATTGCTATTGGTATAGAGAATTGATCGTCAAAAGTCAATATCTATGTTTGACAACTCCACGAAGATCGTGCAATAAAAAATTCAGGCTTTTGCCTCGATTGTGGATGACGACGATATTTTTATGTGACATTAGGAGACAATGATGAAGTCTAATGACAGCGGGAGGTACTCAGGGTTTGGCCCTGTTCGGGGAAGACAATGATGATGATGATGATCCTGTGACCAAGTTAGATACTTAAGATTCTGTCGTGGTCGTGGAAGACAATGATGTTTGTATTTTTGTTAAGGAATTTTCCAAGAACGTGGAAGCAGTGATAAGATGCTTTAGTAACTCAGAAAGATATTCAGGATTTTGCAGTGATCGTGGAAGACAGTGAAGATGTCTCCACGACCATAGGAGATGATCATATTATTACCTCAACCTCGGCTTGGTCGAAAATCTTAGGTGTGTCAGCACCTTTATTTATTAAAAATTTATTTTTAATATTTGTTTGTAAGATCTTAATTTAAATTTTGTATTGTATTTGTTCAATGTGTTTAGAAGGATTTAGATTGGAATTGGTATCGCTATGATGAATCGATAAATTTTGGTATTGACACACCTCTATTTTCAATACATTATTTTTTATCTCATTACACAAAGTGCAAAAAAAAATCACATAAACAGAATACTTTCTCCATATACTATGTATAAGGGGAAAAAGTAAAAGGAGTAAAATCATTGCAAAAACAAGCTTGGTAATCAATCACCTGTTATTACTCCTGAGACGATTGTACCAATGAAGGGAGTCTTGAACTTTGGATGAACCTGTCCAAGCCACTCAAACAGCAGTCCGTCTTGGGCCATGGAGTAGATGATCCTCGGGAGGGGAAACAGACCTCCGAATAAGCTAGGAAAATAAACAACAACTAAATCAAAATTACTCATTCAATTTATTACTTACTGACTATTACCCTTTACTCCCATAAATGCTACAACATCCTGTTGTCTGAGAATGATATTTTTTATTTAAAGGAGATTATCTATATTTGAGGGTGGTCATGATAAACTGGACTAGAAACACTCATAATCTCTCCGTGTGGCTGGTAGGACTAAAATATGGATAACACTTAATTTTTTTTTTTACAGTCGCGACTTGCTCTCAGCCGGTGCCATATCACGTGTTTCGTTACCGTCTGGTCGACCAGTGTTAAATGTTCCGTTTTGTGTTTTCGTGTTTTATGTAGTGTCCATGTTATTTTACCATACACTTTTGACGAATTCCACCAAGAGGAATATCTAATGACCACTTCTTGACATTTTTTTGACCCTATGATGTGCTCCATCCGAAGCACAAAACAGCTGTAGTCACAGCGAACTACAAAGGATTGTTTTGGACAGTAACAAGGTAACATAAACCACTATACATTTTTTTACAGTTGTACAACATGCCAGCTACATTTTGAAGAATGTTTTAGTGGTTTGTGCTGATAAATTTGTTGAAATACCATACCTGGCTCCGAATCCAAAAAGACTTCCAAAAGTAACTATCCATTTGGCCCACTCTAGGTTGAGCTCAGCAAATACATATGGTATTGGGGCTTCCTCATCCTGAAACATTTAAAATAAGTTACTACTAGAGCTACTAGGTAACTATTTGGTAAAAATGTTTAGACCAGGTTTTAAGGATTTTGTGGCGGTAGGAGTTAACTGATGATCATATTTTAATAGCACATGTAAACATAGAATTTTTGGAACAACTCTAGGATCATGTTTTTGTTTAAATTTTTTCTTGTTATTTCAGTTATATAAAACCTCGTTTAGGCGGTAAATACATGATAAGTGTGATCGATTTGATTGGATACTCCAATCATCAACAGACCCGATAGACTAATGCTATTGAGCTAATAGGTGATTGCTAGATTTGAATAGTAAACATACTTTCAACAATTTAAAATAAAAAGAGAGATTCTTGGGATACAAAACCCAAGGGACAGCACTGGCTTGTACTATATAGTAAGGCTATACAGTATAAGGTAGGTACTACCTGGAGGTAGTAAGGCCACATAAGAGTCAACACTGTAGACACTCCAGAGTACGCCAGGAAGCAGATGAACAGAGAGGCTATGATGGATATAGGAATGGCTCTCCTGGGATTACGTACTTCCTCTCCTGCAAAAACATTTCCTTGTGTCCATTCACAAACTACAAACATTAACTGACCCTTGTGACATGAAAACTATTGCTGTCCTTTTTATTTATATTAATACATAATTGTTTTAGTATACAGTGAGGTGCCTGGTTAGTCAGTCACGTTCAAAAACCTGTAAAACTTTATTGGGGTTTTTTTCCAATTGTTTATAAGAGATTGGGGGCCTCTTTCAACCTTGCATTTGCCCATCTACTTAGTTCTTGGGCCTGTGCATGGTACTGTGCATGGTTAAGGAATAGTTAGGCCAGTTTAGTACAAGAATGAACTGTACTGATAACACTTAGTGGTGTACACCACACAAAATCTTTAACATCACTGCCATGGATTAATAGTACGGCACTGTCAATACTGCGGTTGTTTCTGCCAACACGTTATTAAGTACCAACAAGTTTGGGTCACTATGGCCCTACTTTCCCACACTCTTCAGAAGCGCTTTGACCTTATAAGCGGCTTACAATCCTACATGTTTCAATATTTACCTGTTTTAGGCAATAAGACCCAAGAAAGGTTAATAGGTACTTTTTAACATAAACAATTGCATTGGACAGCCCCCCCCCCCCCCAAGAGGACAATATATTCATCATCTCTAACTGGCTTACCTGAAGTAGCAATGACATCAAATCCAACAAAACCATAGAAACATGTGGCAGCTCCTTGTAGGGTGCCTACAATACCATATGGTAGGAATCCTCCGCTACCATACCCAACTGGTACTATGGTCTTGGGCAGCTTCCAGTTCTGGAAATCAGCTGGAAAATATGACTATTGTCAATTATATAGCTAATTTATTCATGTACACTAGTTAGTGATTTTTTGTTACTATTAATGTGCATGGTTAAACCATACCACACTCCTTTTGTAAACTGAGCATGTAAATAACCATAAATCTTCATTTTTGTTCCATTGTTACTATTTATTCACAATGTTCAAAACCGTTATAGATACAATACCAGACGTATTTTTAAAGGGATAGAGGGTAGAGATATTTTAAAGTCATCAATTTATAGAATTAGTTGAACAGTGCTATTCACCAAATATCTTCCCATGTAGCACAGATGGTTGGGCCAACGTTGGGCAACTGTGGGACAGTTGGTCGATGGTTGGTTGGAGCTTCCACAACCAACCAACCGTTGTCCAACTGTATATCTCGTAGTTGGGCCAACCAATATTTACAACTGTGGACCAACATCGGTTCATTGTTAATGAAATACATTAATATGCATTGTTGGGTATCATACATCAAGCCAACCGTTGTCCAACCGTTTTTCACTCCGTTGGACCAACAAAAGATACTTTTGTTGGACCAACGATGGTCCATAGTTGAGTTTACACGACTTTCATTCTCTGGGTCTAGCTTTCACAACATAATTATAATAAAATATCTGGTTTTACAATACCTTTTTATCAGTTCCAAAAGTTTCCAAAAGTTTTTGGAACTGATAAAGGTATTGTAAAACCAGATATTTTATATATTACAGTTCCGGGGCTACAACAATGAATTTTAATAATTATAATAATGCAAATATTTTTTAAATTAATATTCTTTAACTTATTTGCAACAATTTAAGGGGAAAGAGTAATTAATCATATAACAGTCAATTATAATAGCATTAATAATCTAACGGTAATTAATTAATCTATATTCAAATACCAGTATCCTCTCTAACTCCAAAAAAAAAAAAAAAACTACTTATGATGCCTTAACAGATTAACAGAATCATATTATACTGTGTAGTATCAATCAATCAATCAATTATTTAAGATGGGGACGCCACTATGTGCGTATTTTAACCCAAATATGAGTGAAGGATGAGTGTAGGATGAGTGGCGCGATCTTGTAGTCTTGTTAGTGACTAAGGTCGACATGTTCCTTAGACACAGCTGTTAATTAATAGCCCATACAGCCAATGGCAACTAAGGGACCTACAGTTTATAGTGGAATCCGAACCACATTATTCCTTGTAATTTACGAATTGGTCTAATTATCAGGATAGTACTGCGGATAGTCGTAGTACTCACTAGTGCGGACGTTAATCCACACCAGGGAGCATCGCATCCACAGTGCATCCCTATAATCAAAAATGTTTGAAGTATTGCGACCATTGCAACTGTCGGCTACTCTTTCACCACTTGAAAACTCTCTGTATCAACAATCACAGATAGCTCAGTGGTAAGGTAAGAGGCTCATAAGTCGAAGGACCCGGGTTCGAGACCCGTCTGGGCCAAAAAATTTTGTTCCAGCTTTTTTTCAAAATTTGTTTTTATGAACTATTTAATCAATTTACTCAACTAGCCTAATAATTATGCTTTTCGTACTAAATCTTTATTATTTTGTGTGAAATAATTTTGGTTGGGCCATTGTTGGACAAAGGTTGGCTGGAAAACAGTTTAAAGAGGTGACATTTCTACCGTTGGCCAACTGTGTGGCTCCACAATTTACCAACGTTGGCCCAACCATCTGTGCTACATGGGTTGACATAGAATTAAGTGCTCAGGAAATTGACAAAAAATGTTTTAGAATAGCTATTAAAATAATTAAATTCACACTACACTCATCTCCATTCATTATTGGCTTTAAATACCTACTTTCGAATGGTCCCTATTTCAAAGTAAAGTATTAAAGTATTTACTTATTTTCATTTTCCCTAAATATTATCTTGTTACTGTCTAAAGCGATCCTTTGTAGTTTACTAGGACTACAGCAGTTTTGTGCTTCAGATGGAGCACATAATCAGGTCAGAAGAATGTCAAGACATCATTGAATATTCCTTGTGGCGGAGTTCGTCAAAAGTGACGTCTTGACATTCTTGTGACCTGATTATGTGCTCCATCTGATGCACGAAACTGCTGTAGTCCTAGTAAACTACAAAGGATCGTTTTTGACAGTAACAAGGTAATATAAATCACTATAGCTAATTCAGAAGATCCAGAAACCATTCTCTCATTCATTTTCCCATCTATGCTGGACTGTTTAAATGTCTAGAGACAATAAATGACTGATAGATCAATTGAGCAAAAAAGTTGCGCCTAACGTCACCAAGAGGGATTTTAACATGCACCAGACCCTAATACAATATCTTTTCCCAAACTACGCCCTAGTTTTGCCCTTTGCTGTTCAGCATGAGTGTTGGTGCTATGCCAAAATAGAATTAAAATATACCTAGTGAGCTGTCAAGTGGAATGTTTGGTCCATATTCACAATCAAAACTAAGAGGTTCTTTAAAGAGTCCATAATCTTCCATAGTATCAAACTTTCATAGCTTCCACGTTTGACACAGTACATATGTCTCTGTTGCACTCACTACAATCAGTAACAGCAGTTAAACATTAAGAAACTAATGAACAACGTGTGGTATACAGCCTTGTTAAAAAAATAGTTCTCTGATTCTCACATGACACCAACTGGGAACCTTTGGGTCTTGTCAAACCAAAGTGTCTTTTTTTGACAAGAAAGGCTCGTTAAATGCTGTGAAGGGTTAACATTATAGTATCAAAAATGATTTAGTATAACAAATTATCAGTTTCTAATTTGGTTCAAGCTTACCATAAAAACTGCCCAGAACAATGACAAAGATGACGATCCCGCAGTTGACAGTTGAGAGAAGATTGTTAAGGATTATTGACTCCTTCAGGCCCACGGCAAGTCCAACTAAAACAGGTCCGTTTATTAGAGTATAAGTCAAGATAGATCCAAATTCATTTCAATAAAAACTACTTGTAAAAACTACGATTTGTTTGTGCCAAAATCGTATATTATTGTTCATATATTTATTCTCTGTTAATTTTGTTGTTGCCATTTTGTTACCGGTAGATTTACAAATTTTATACCTTGTTATGTTTGAATATGTTCATGTTGTATTGTAGCACTAAATTTAAGACTGTGATCAACATCTTAGGAACCAATTTATGTTTTAGAATAATTAAGGACTGAGAATCAATTTTTAAGAGATCAAGACGAAGCACCTGTACATGTGATTTTCACAAATTTGTATGTTATGTGCAAATAAATTATCATTATCATTATCATTACTTAATAATGTTTTAGTTTGATAACAAAACGGATCTGAATTAAGAAGCACCATATCCATATCACACATGTTTATACAAACCTATTAATTAAAAATATTTAGAAAATGCAAGTAGGTTTTACGGTATTATGGAAATAATAGTAAAATGTGATAAATAATAAGTACTTACAGCATACAACGACTGAAATAGCGAATGCAAACATATCAAAATATTCCGACAAAAAAGGTAGATTTACTGGGAACATAGATTTGAAGTAATCTGCCATAGCATAGTCAAATAGAGCGTCCAAATACACACTGCTTGCCTTAGCAACACTGGCTGCACCTGCAAGATAAAGAGTTGTAAATTAACAAAGTAAATTATTTTGATTACCTGAGGAACATTTAAAATGTATTATAACAATTCAGCGAGCTTTATTTTTTTGAGTTAACATTTGACCACCTTCCAATATTGTTTTTGTTTGCTTAAATTTAGAGAAGGAAAGACCTGGAAGAAGGTAGACAAATGAGATAAAAAGGATGGCAGAAGAGATAAATGAGACGATACGTCAAATGGCCAAATAGGTGAAAGAGGAAGAGAGGAACTGGAAAGATGAGAAAAGATAAAGAGTTCATGGCAGACTCAGGAATATGTATATGTGTATTTATTATATTTGCCAAACTCGATAAATGCAACTCGTCAACAAAGTGGGGATATCAAAATTGTATATTTAAACTGCCAACACAATTATTTTAAGAGAAAACTACATGTAATCTGTGGCTATACATGGTCAAAAGAAAATTTACAATCACTTACTATAAAAACAATATCTTCAGACAAGGGCATAGGTCAATCTTCATAGCCATATCTTATCACTTCCATTGACTTCTCATTGTACAACCAAGACCTTTCTAATGGCCCAAAATGTTATCAAACATTAAATGTTTAGTTAAAATACAACCTATTACGCCTTGAACCGATATACAATGTTTTTGCTTGTTATGTAAACAATGGTCATGGCTAAAGTTACAAAAAGGCATGTTACTCCAGTCTACATACATCCTTCCCTCATATTCTGGTTAAATTACACAGCAATGTAATGAAAATTACATAATGATAGGGGTTATAACTTATTACTATACCAATACATTGTGAACTTACCAATTATGTATTCTATGATGAGATTCCAGCCAATAATAAAAGCAATGAACTCTCCAACAGTTACATAGCTGTAAATGTATGCGGAGCCTGCTTTGGGCACTCTTGCCCCGAATTCAGCATAGCACAGACCTTGAAACACAAAAATACAGATATAAAGTTATATAAATAAGTGATGATTATAATTCAAATGTTTAATTGCCTGTATAGTTTATAGCTTACAATGAGCACTGATTATAATTTTATTTATACACTCATAGTGAAGATGATCACTGTTACAGGTAGTTCTTGCTAAGAGATCTATCTTTGAAAATGTTTGGCTCCTTATAGCGAATTTCCCTATAGGGAAGTACTGTAACTATCACCGTAGGTTGCACGGTAAGACCTAGAACCGGGGCTGATTTACTTTTTAAATTTTGATGTCAATAGGCCAAAAACACAATTCGTTTGAATTTGTATACATGTACTGTATGTATGTTGTATATATTCAGGGTGTCCCGGAACTCTCTGGAACCCTTTTGTATAGGTATTTGTTTCTTAGGTCAAAATAATTACAAAAATTCCATACAAACATGGCTCTAAGATGCTTGGTTTTCCACCTGTGTGTCTGTATGTGATTTTCACAAATGAATCCATAACTTGAATACCTTAAGCGATTGACTTGAAACTTAGTATGTGAGTAGTGAAAAGTAAGTCTAATCTTTGCAGAAAGTATCAGATTTATAAATTGTACCAATCCAAAATGGCAGCCATTTAAAATTGTCTATCTTCAATAACTTTAAAATAAGTGATGATACTAAAAACTATCAAAAGAGTAGGCCTATACAATTTTGGGACATTTTATGACTGACAACGATATTTAAACTGTAAAGATCAGTTAAACAACCAAGATATAAACATTTTTGTGAGACCAGTCATGGTCTAGACCGCCACGCCAAAGGGACAAGGCAGGGTGTAACAATGGGAAAATATCAAAACATCAAAACAAAACTTTCATAGCCTAAATGGTCTAGGTTAAAATGGTGATTAAAATGTGACAGACACTTAATTTTAATGTTAAGATTTTCACCTGCTAACATGGAAGCTACAGCTGCATAGAAGAAGGATAGAACAACTCCAGGTCCTGCACTATCTCTAGCTACCCCTCCTGGAATGAGATAAACTCCCACACCCAGTGTTGTGCCCACACCTAGAGCGATCAGGTCAAAGGTTGACAGCACCTGCAAACAGTTGGAATTATAATTGTGTACATATACAATTACACTTTACTTTGTGTTACAAAACATGTTCTTCAATTTGTTAACCATTATGTGACGTTAGGTTTATAATATCGCGTAAATTGTTTGAATACCTGCTAATAGTAATCATTGGTTGCTATTCAGATTCAGATTCAGAAACACTTTATTCAAGATTTACATTTTACAAATATAAATGCAGAATGTACCCCTATAGGGTGCTAAAAGGGGAAAAAATAATCTATTAAGTCTACAGTGCATAGTATTGTCTACTGCAGGTGGCAGTCCTAGGAAATAAAGAACTCAGTACACATAGGGGCAACCAAAAGGGGTACACACTATTGCGTAGTCATATTACAAGTGGGCTTTTCCTGTACTACCTAACTAGAAGGAGTTGCGAACAAAAATTACATGACCAGTTAATCAGGAAAATGACTTTATAGACCTTAATCATTATCTAATTAAATGGCTAAATTATTGTAAAATTTCTTTAAATACACCAGGCATTACAAACTGTGGGCATTTGTCCCAGTACGCGAATGCCTAGGCATTTTACGGAACTAACTCTTCACAATCGTACCTTGCCCAGCTGTGAAGGTTCACTCATCACCAATGCCAAGGACTTGCGGCGAGTCAAGGCTTGAAAGAGCCCCATTGCTGGTCACTGGAACAATAACCATCCATTATAGCCCATGAAATAAATCAAGATGATAAATTCACAAGAAGACCCCTGAAGATGCCACACAAGGTGGTGAAATGCATAGGGTGACACAACTATCTTACCTTCAAGTACTCAGGCAACAAGAACAAAGGAAAATCAAATATAATTCAAGTTCTTGAAATTGAAATAACAAAATATTTAAAGCATATTAATTATGATAGGTACACATACATCAATTTTGTACAGTTTAGATGATGCGGCGCATATACATTCTGATTTTCAATTCATGCTGTGTTGTTAACGATTGTTGACAACGCAAAAACAAAATTTGTAGAATGAACTCCTCTGCCACGATTTTGACCATTCACTTCTCATTAGAAAGCGTATGTTGCGTAAGTGTGCAAACTGATCTAATAATGTTTTAAAAGGTCCTTCTTTGGGCTATGCCTCAACACGTGCTACAAACATTAAATTTTACTGATTTCGTAAAAAAGTTTGACCATTATAAGTCATCCTGAAAAAAAAAATGGGTTTTGAAGTAATGGTATGTGTGATTGTAGCTTCAGGCCACACCTGTGGTCCGATTTTGATGATATTTGGTGTGTGGATACTAATCCATGGTAACTCCAGGCCTTTAATAATTTTTTGAGATTTTGATTTTAATGGCAGCCTAATTTTCCCATAAAACGCATACAACTAAAAAATAGAATAATTTAGTATGTTACAGTCCTTTTGTCTCTAAACAAGATGGTATAACCAACAACACTGTAAAAAATTTGGTTCAAAAGTTTTTGTAACTGTTTTTAGCTTTTCTCCACAAAGACCAATAAAAAAGAAACAACAAACAAATTGGATAAAAACCATTTAACTAATTTTGGTTAAAACTGTGTAGTGTAGGCTATGTTTTAGTCCTTTTAACTCTAAACGGTACAACCCCTATTGCTGTAAAAATTACGGTTTACAAGTTATTGCAACCTTTGTCATTTCCCCCATGAATTATAAAATTAACTCTCTCCATTTAGCCATGTGATATGGGTGTTTGACAAGCTAGAATGGGAGAAGAACATTAAATAAACGGTATTATTAGCAATCTGACAATTCTCTGACATCTCTGAGAAAGTAACTTATGTGTCAGATTGTTAATACCGTTTATTTAACGTTGGCATAACAAACGATGACTTACTTTCCTTGATGCACAATATACTATTTTCATTTTGTAGCTTCTATTACTAACCGAATAGCATTTAAATCAGTTTAAAAAATCTATATTTTCACAAAATCACCCCGGATTTCCGGATGTTTACTATCTATTGCAACCCGGTTCCAAATCCTGCGAGCGCCCATGCCTGTAATGCTTTGCAATTGCTTGAATTTGAGCAACAGGTACACTAGTATGACTGATGATGTAAAGGAATAAATTAATGTTAGAAGAATCATAGCTTCTTTTAATGATAAAATTAAAGATACACTTATTTTAGTATGCCATCTTAGTTTGGCCATCTTTATGGCCATTTTTTTTATAAAGAAGGCTTCAAACCATGTCTCCATTAGAATATACTGTATGTTTAAAAATGTAAATGTTTCAATTTGAAATAAATTACCAAATAGGCAAGAAACTTATACTGTGGCCCTCATGGTAATCCCGATTTTTGGGCTGATAACATAAATTACAATATTATATTAAATTTGAGGTCCGGCAGGGGTGCCCATCCCCCCCAAAACCCATGTCGCAAAATCCCCCCTACCTAATTATTTGGACGACCCATGACGAGAGGTCCGTAGAACCCCCCCCCCCCACACAATGCCAAAAAGTCGAGAGAGTAAATTAAGAAAATACATTTTCTTTGAGATCTGGGATAGAATTTGTAACCTAATTTTTATGTGCAATCTGTTTGTTTTAAATTATTATATTATTATATCCGGACTGTCCGGAGAAAGATTCGGAAGGACCTGAGAAAAGTTGTAAAAAATCACAATAACTTATCCAAAGTTTCTATATTTTTTGCATTCCTCAGACTTGTCAATATTTACAGTAAAAACTGTATCGTTTGACATAAAATGTTTGAATATTTGCTGTGAATTGTGTAACAAATCAAGTATTTATATTTTTTGGAATTATTTCCAACTGTATTGGTAATTTTTTATCCAGTAAACAAGTCTAGGTATCAATCTTAAAATCTAGACTAGAGAATAGCCATTAGCAATTTAGACCAGACAATTTTAGGCCTACGGCCTACGCTTTTTTTGAAAGTTAAAAGAATTTGAATTAATATAAAATAAACCCTTTATTATATTAAATACTTACACAAAAAAAAACAAAAAAAAACAATCAAATAGTAGACATTACTCACCTAAAGGAAGAGCCAAAAACACTGTGGTTTACAACTACAAACCACTAGCTGTTATCAATATTATCAGTTTACCCCTGACCTGCCATGTGGGAGCAGAGTTCCATCTATGTTTGGGTTGGAGCAATATTTGAGACCAATGTTGCAAGATAGGCCGAACCTCTTATCTCATTTCTAAAACATTGATTTAATTAGTCTGGTAGGGCAACTCTGATAGTAAAAACATTGTTTGGTTAAAGAGTAAATAATGAAGTTCATATTTACAAGTATATCATGTGTAAACATAGAAAATATCAGTTAAAAATTTTGGTTGTGTTGCTAGTCTAAGGCTAAAAATCCAAGACAACTTAAGGCTGTGAATAGCGGAGGTATAATGATAATGATAGCACTTGGTTGAAACTCAATCTTACTAGTGGGTGAGTGCATACAAACACAAAAAAGTAGCTTGCATAATCTTTTTACAGGGTCAAGATGAATCAAACTAATGAAATTTTCTTGACAAAGTAATTGGTCAAAAAGTCACAGATTGCAGCATAATAGGATACATTAGGGGACTGCGGTTTCCTTAAAAAGGGGGAGCTGAACCAACATATAATCTATGAACAATTCACAGCACAAATTTTAGCATACCGGCTTTGTATTGAAACCCCTGCCGCAGCAAACCTGTAGATTAATAAGCAAATATCAATTTACCTCATTGGATTTTGACTCTAATATTTCCTTGAACTTGTGAAATTTATTGCCTATTTGTGCTTAATAACATTATATTTAATGAGTAAGTTACTTTTGATGGCTGCAATAGGAAAGGACACATTGTTTCCTTAGACTTAAGTTTCCTGGGAAATTAGAATAGTTCCAGGTGGAAGAGGGTCAGGAGACAGGTTCCATAATACAGACTATAGTGTGAATTCTTATGTAATGTGTAAATACGTGGAAGGATCCATATAACAGTGGCTGTCACCAATCATGTTTTTAGGGCTATAAGTCCCTAATTCCAACATTTAGTCAAAATCCTTCCACTGGGATTTCGAGATTTATATTACAGACACACAGACAGACAGATAGACAGACAAACAGACATAGCTCGTATTAGAGTTATAGGATATTTTTTTCCAAACCAAATAGTAAAATGTTTTTAAGAATATAATGATTTCCCACAAAATGTTTTTTCATCACCCAATTACTACGATTCCCACCTGTCCCTTAAGCCCCTGTCACACGGAGCTGGTTTTCTTGTTGCACAAGACATTCAACACATTGATAAGATCGTTTAATATGGGATAGATATTTCATCAAAACAAAATCGATAACCAGTAGAGTGAGTAGTATATCAAAGTTCCCTTCTCCTAGAGATACAACTACACAAATCAGTTACAGACCTAGGGCTATTAAATAGGCTTGTAGCCAATACTTGAGGCAATCTTTGTATTCGGCACTACATGCCTAAAGCAGCGCATTTAGCCTACACTAAACAACTTGTTAGAACTTTTGTTTGTCAAACATTTTAAGTTACCCTAAACTTTTGGTTTATTCAACTTGACCTTGTATTTATAAAACGTTTGTTGGCGCGTTGTATGCGCCAAAAAGAATTAGACTATCAAGAACATGTTTAAAAGAGTCCAAGAACCTACAATCACCACAATTGATTCAAGTGACGAGGATCTGTTGTTGGCGGCTGCTGCTTGTGTTGTGATTTACTGTGCTAGAAAGAAATGAACAAGCGTCGCTTTTGGATACGTTTTTAACTGCAAGTTAGGATTAAGTAAAGTGGCAGTGAACAATGTAGATTGTTAGTGCAGTATACAGTTGGCAGGATTAAGTACAGTGTTTTGAAAGTCCGAGGATACCTGAGTTGGATACCTGAGCTAACTCAGGTATATCCTCGGACTTAACAAACATCAATATGGTAGATTTACCTACCCGATCATCACATATTAGAATTAAAACATAGAAATTATAAGGAAATAGTCTAATACAAAAATAATTAGGCCTATATGAATAATAACTTATGTAAAACCCATTTTTTTTTTACATTGCAGGGCGCAGGCCACTTTTTACTAATCTTAAAGTCCCCACCTTTACCTCCGTTTTATATATTAGAATCAGCTATGATGATATGGAAATTTCCTGAAGTCTTTAACCGCAACCATGAAGTACATAATTACAACACCATTCAACAAAACCACATAAGTTAGGCTAGACATTTGAATTGTCACCGAACATCATTCGTACCTAATAGCCAGACGACATCACTCAGCAGGTAAAGTATTTAACAAACTGCCAGAAGACATAAGAAGCTGCTAAGATAAAAACATTTTAAAGAAAAAGCTCAAGAACTATTTAATAAGAAAGGCCTACAACAAATTAGAAGAATTTTTAGAAGAATAAGAAAAAATAGGCCCTAGCCTATTTTATACCTGAATAATACCTTTGACGGCAACGGCTGAAAAGCTAACTTACTAGTGGGATCATTTCAAGTATGCAAGTAAAGCGAAATGTTACAAGATTTTGAACAAGATTACAAAGATTTGTTGGATCGGGAATTGAGGACTGATTGTAGGCCTAGCATCAAAAACTTAAGAATGGCAAGTGCATACTGTTGTGTAGGCTAGGCCCACTGAATGTACGCGAACTGATCTCGAGCCCAGATAGCGGAACACGTGTTTGGTAAACAAATTCCACGTTTTTGACATGGGTCGGGAAAGCTTTAGTTTGTTATAAAGCATGATTTTTGGTTGTACATCGCGCTTGTACAACTTGTTATTGTACAGTAGGCCTAGGCCTATATAAAAATACAATATTTGTTATTGTATTTTTAAACATTTTCTAACCAATTACTATAATTGGCTGTACAAAACAAGTTTATAAAACAAGTTGTATAGTGTAAACACGGCTTAACTTAATACAGTACTGCATCAGTTTACCAAACAGGCATATGACTAGGTTATCAAATCATAGATTTTAAGAAATAGTTAAGTATGTAAATACAGAAGTAGGCTACTAATTTACTTACTTACTTAGCTCATAAAAATTCTGGGTATATTAATTAAAATTGCCTCATTCTGTGGTTCATTCTATTTCAATACTTTATGTAAGTTGGCAATTTTAACAACTTGTGGGTTACATAACACTTCTAGCTTTTACAGGATAATGTGAAAACTTAAGCTCTGCAGAAGTTAGTTTTCATTAGGTTCTAGTATGAAAATATTTCTCAAAATTAACTGTTTCTATACTCACCCAGAATGAAAAATACCTATAGATACGAAGAAACTAAACGATCCAAGTAAGTTTACAAACTTTTAAACTTTAAACCAGGGTTTTGGTTTTATTGTTATGATCATTTTGACATTTTAATATGATTGGTTAGAAAAATCGACTAAAACGAAACGCCAAACGCCATATGGGTGACAAAGAGTACCAAAAATATTTTTTATACAACACCTCCTTAAACAAATCACCTAGCATTGAGCATATATGTAAAACTGTGGAACAATAAAATGTATTTTGAAAGAGTTTCTAAACGTTTTTACGATAAAAGGTTGATTTTTGGAGTTTGCATGGTCCATGTGCTTGAATTAAAACAATGAAGAAAATAACTTCGTTGCGAAAAACCAGTTTTGTTATGTGAAATGTTTTAGAATGATTTTATTTGTCATGGTACAATATATTAAAGCCTATTATGAGTTACGGTTTAAGCGCGGCCACCTTTAACTCCAGACCGTGGCCTTGGGAGTGGCAACGCTGCCAGTAGTTCCATAACAGCTGTTTTGTTTGGTAGTATAGCTAATGCGTATTTGTGTATTTTTTAAAGAATGCGAAAGCTTGGTTACTGGGCTATGAAAATATAGACTCAATTTTTAATGTACAGAACTAAATTTTATTTTATATTGTTTTGGATATTGTTTATTTAGAACGCAATATGTAAATTTTTTTTATCTTTTAAAATAATACATAGTTAATAATGAAGTAAGCGGGTGTCACCTGTCTGCTTTTTTAGCTTGGGACGTCTTTCTGGCTCTAAACAACACTACTTTAGAACGTTGCCAATTCTACCAGGCCACGGCCTGGAATTACAGGTGGCAGTGGTTTAAGTAGGATTGTCATTGAATTCGTCTGTTTTCATCTTAATATGTTTTAAATTATACAGGGTGTTCAAAAAAAGTGGGGAAATATTTTACCTAGTGATTCCTTGGGTCAAAATAAAGAGAAAATCATGTATAATTTTTTTTCCAAAATAGCTTCATTAACCAGATAATGTATCCATCATTTTGTATTGTTTACATAAACATTTTTATCTTTGGACTTTTTCAACACGGCTTTATAAAACTTGGTATGTATGTTAAGGTAGAAGAGATCCATGCTAGAAAAAAAATCATCTTGATTCAACTTAACATTTCAAAATGGCGGACATTTTAATTTTCTAAACTTAAATTACTCAAAAACGGCTGATTTATGAAAAAACGTCTAGAAAACGTTTATTTAGTATTTTTAATTCCATATCAAATAATACCAAGTTCAAAAATATCGAATAAGAAATGATTTTTAGTTGTAAAATGGAGCAAGGCAAACCTGATTAGCTTCTGCCTTATTCTACCCCATTTTACGACTAAAAATCGTAATATTTCACCTGTTTTTTTATTTGATCTTTTTGAACTTGGTATCGTTTGTTAGGGAATTAAACAAAAAAGTGAATTAAATTAAAGTGTTATACTGTACAAAGGTGTTATACAAGTTTATATACAGATTGGAGATTTCAGAAATATTGTAAATTTCAGTTCTACCACTTTTTTTTAGAGGTAGGCACTTTACATGGATTGATGACGTTCCTTGTAAAAAAAACTTTCCGCCGAGCCTATGGGCGGCTTTAGGAATACATATGTCAATAACCATGATACTTTATTCAATGCAACTTAATATAATACAGCTATATACTATTGTAATATTCAGGTAAATTAATTAAAATGTTGGTTAAGGAACAGGAATCGAATTGTTGTAAAAAACAAAAAGCCCTATGCATAAACCAGACAGAATGGGCGTCAATCTAGCTGTTCCATAAGGGGGGACTTGGGGGGAATGCTTCCCCCAGTAAAAAGTGGGGTTCAGGGGTCCTACGCCAGAAAATGTTAAAAATGGTTGATTTTCCAAAATGTTGTGTCTAAATTTGTTTTATGTATTGTAAATTGATTGTGTTTTTAAAATTTGTAAAAATATGGTTAACGTCCCGGCTACACGTTAACCTAATGGGACCCTTCTCATAGTGAGAGGATAAGAATTATATAAATGATAACTCAATGAAGGAGTGTTTAATAATTGAGTTTAAGTACAAATTAGTAATTTATAAAATAGATTTAAATTAGGATCAACCCAATTTTGTAATATTTATATATGGTTATTCTATTAATTTACAGTTACAAGAAAACTATAAGAGATACTATTATGGTTTTATTATATGATTTTATACCTAAGATTTTTAAGATTTCAATAGCATTGAATATAGAAGATGTGCGTAAAACGCTCCCTTGAGAGCAGCCATCGTTATAAGGTGTCGACAATGTATGCTGATAAGAGATAAGTGGCAATATAGTGTCTTATAAGATTTACAACGAGGAACAAACCCTCCATCACAACCACAACATAAATTGAAATTGCCACTTGATACACATTCAACAAAAAATATAACAGTCACAAAACTGGGTACAGTTACACAATACTTATAGACAGGACTGTACACAAAATGATGAATCCCATCATCTATTCTTGCTAGCTGGTTGCAATTAGATGTTAACATCTTATCTTTCGGAATTGAAAATAACGAAGTCCAGAAACTGAGAGTTAAAAGTCGAATTTCAAGTATTTAGTACTTACAACCAAGAATAAAAAATAGAATCCAGAATTGGAGGAGTTTAGGAGGTTTTAGTCGAAACTAAGAACTAATATCACAGAATAGAAAATTTATAATTATGGATAAAGAACAAAAAACCGAGGTCCGAGAACAAAAAATCCAAGATCGGAAAATCAAGAACCAACTATAGGACCAAATGTAGAGATCCGATATTTACCAACAAAAGAACGAAGAATAAAAAATAAGAGTAAAGAATGAATGATAATTGAGACTCAAGTTTCATGGATGGTTGTATATTTTGTATGAGGGGCGGATTCCGACACGTTCTTCAGGGTCATAGTTTACAGAGGCATAGTTTACTCTATGCATGCCCCACTTGTCACTATAACTAGTATAACTATCAGTATTATTAGCCTGAGCCTATATCCGTGTATTTGACCAAGTCACGGAGCTTATGCCCAACGTTACATCTGATTCATTGATTTTGGCCGAAACTGGTAGGATAATAAACTCTAAATGTCAAATACTTGTCTAAGAAGAATTGGGAATTCACAAAATACTACCGATAAGTGACAGTCAAGATTCGATAATATAGATAAAAATTTAGAATCTAATAGTGATTAATGAATACTGAGAATCAAGAAACAATATTGAGCTTGGAGTTTTTCGTTTGCATTTTAACATGCTTGTATTTCTCTCCGTTTACGTTTGTAACCAGTGGTACGGTATCTGGTATAGCAATTAGGGTTTAATTGCTGCAAATATGGCTGCCGCTACACGCTGTAGTTACACGTGTACTTTGACGATAATTGATAGATATTTATCATTACTTTCTATCACATTTGAAAGTTTTTTTTTAAATTTACATGGTATATCTTATTTCCATAAAATAAAACAAACCTTTTGTTACGTTTAACATTGAGATCCTCAGAATATTAACCTGGCAGGATTTACCTTTATATTGTATTCTCTTACAATTGAATTGTGTTTTTATTGTTTGTGTGCTTTTGTGGCCATATCGTAAAAAAGAGAACAGTAATTTCTAACTTGAAAGTTCCATATGTACCCAAACTTGAATTAGGACTTTTATACAATCCAACGGAAATGTTTTTTGTAGAACGGTGTCAAAATATACAGGTATATTGAGAAGCAAGACGAATTTTTTAAAATTATTCTCATGCCAATGAATTTATGCCAAAATAATAAGGGATATTTAAAAAATACAGCATTGTATAACCGTATAAAAATACATTCTCTTATTTGCTCTTAAGAGTTCTAATTCAATTTCAATTCATGAATAAAAGATTAGGTTTTATTACGAGTTGAAATTGTAAACCAAGATTTATTCCCATTGCTCTTGAAACAAACATAATTCATTCCGAAGAACGATATAATATGAGTCTCCTTATATTATTCCATCGCATGATTTAACAGCTTTTTTGGTTGTTTTCAGACTCCTTTAATTTTCAATTCGCTGAGGAACATACACTAGTCTAGTTTTTCCTAGTTATTCCCTTATAGGGAATAAACTATTACCATATGTTAAATGGTAAACTCTGGACCCGGGACCAGGGTATAACCCAACCTGTAAAATAAATAAACTAACCAAATTTTAAATTGGAAAAAATAATCGTAAAGTGAAATCGAGTTTAAAATTAAATGGATGCAAATTTGGTTATAGAGGCGAAGTTTTGGGTATCCGTTAAAATTCTATCATAAACATTTCAACTATGATAAATATTCTAAGGCATTGCAGTGGTTTTGATATATCGTAAGATTAAAATGGACTAAATTTGTAAATTAAATGGACCACGCCAGTAAACTTCATAACTGTTTTACGTAACTCAATGTTTAGTAGTTTCGTTTGTGTTTGTAATGTAACGTTAACTGTACAGACGTAAACCAGTTAACAGGTGGTTCACGGTCCGATTTACAAAACATGGCCCCAACGGACTGTCCTTTGTGATACAAACTGGGTTCATGTGTAATGTATTGTCCTCTGGTAAACTACCAACATTTGTACGCTCAATTGTTCATCTTCAATACAGTGTAATTTAAACTGTCTCAGAGACAACAAGTCCTAATGTAGGTCGGAAATATGATTTTAACCTATCGTTTTATAGTAGTCCTGATGTGGGAATGATGTTTTGTAATATCATTTAGTTAAATACTGTTCTTTAATCAAATTGTGAATGATTTGAAGCTATGTAAAACTATAATCTATGAAACATACTGTGAACAGTTTTTTAATAAGACCTGCAAATGCTATAGTTTTTAACTTCAACTATGAGACGAAAAAGCAAAAACGCTTAAAATCCTTTTTCTCTTCTTCGAAATAGTGACTTTTCATTAATGGGGCGTGCGAGTAAAAATCAAATTATTGAATGATTTTATTTTACCATCATGAACACATTTATTTGTAGGACAGTAAAATATATTACTGTATTCTTTTACAGAAGTATTTTACCTAAATGTATTTCATGTTTATCATCTATGATGTG